ACGCCTTGTGCGGCTGGCTATTGTTCAATGCGGGATGGCGAGTTAACCGGGGTTGCGAGCGGGCTGATGACGAGAGTAGATGAATGATCGATCTCGTAGCGGCGAGTAATTGACACTTGCTTTGGGGCAAGCAACGAGGAACCGCCGGAGATGACAAAGGTTGCGGTTCTTGGGTTCGATCAGACAATGATTGATCAAGTGCTGGGACGGGCAGGCGTGGTTCGTCAGTTATTTCTGAGCTCGCCCGGCCCTTGATAGACTCCCGAGATCGTCCGGAGGCTCCCGTAACCAGTGGACATTGTCTTGTGGCCTTTGGTAGTCTTGAACTGACGGGCTCTAGAGGTCGGCGAGTTGGATAGGGGCGTACTAGCTCCGCCATGAGGAATGGTGGGATCCTTGGGATGCTTGCTGTGATTGGATGAGGGTGTAGATGAGGACGGAGGAGCAGCTGAGAGCGGAGAGCGAGCCGAGGGCGAGCGGGTGGGAGGAGAAAAGGATGGCGTCGAGGTTGTAGACTGAGTTGAAGAGTGAAAGTAGCGGAGGACATTGTTAGGACAGGATGGATTAAGATGAGGAGTTCCTCCCTTCAACCTCATGTTTTTCTGGTCGTCTGCGAGAGAAATCACCATCTTCTTTGATAGTACCGGTACAAGGCCCTGATCCGTCGAGTATCGGAACATACTGGTCAGAGGAGCCGCAGGTACACAAGGAAGCTGAGCGGTATTGGTTTGGGCTAGCAGGAGGCACACAATCTCTTCCAGATGCCTGATGCGATTTCCGTAGCTGTCTGCTGTCTGGTCAAAGAAGAGTTTTCTCGACCGTCCGTGGTTCATATTGGAGAGAAAGCCAGGCGAAGAGCAGGCTGGACTAGAGGAAGGATTGAAAATGGTGACGGATCGGATGATGAGGCTGAGTCGGAAGACAAGTCAATCTAGTGGACTTGGTCAGAAAAGAATGTCCAACGACCAAAAGTCCGTGGTTGGATATTGTCAGCCTCTGGGTAACTAACCCGAGTATTTAATAGTAAAAAGGTTGTTACTATGAGTTGACTGAAGTTTTTGAGCGTGGTGAGTGTTAGGTAGTGGGTGATTAATACCAGTCCTGTAAAGAGGAGGTTTCACTCTATCAGTATGGTCTATACTGAGAGGCTTGCTATCAACAGCGCATCCGGATCAATACAAGGTATTAATAGGCATCCAGGGTACTAAGACTCACCTGGGATTGATTTGGTTATTCCCAAAAGGGAATGGGCTAACAATACTTATTAAGCTTTAACAAAATTAGTTGAAGATTAACAGGTATTGTTGATGGGAATATTCAGCAAGGCTATGAATACTGTGGATAAGTTGAGTAAGAGTACTGAAGCTTAAGAACAATAAATGTAGACTAGATTTATGTTGGTTACGTGTACTGTATCAATATAAATGTTAACTGGTTTAACTGGTGTCTGAATATTCTGGGGATTAATCAGTGAAAGAAGCACGGATTATAAGTTCCAGAATATTGAAGGATGGAAAGAATGAGCGCTCAGAATCAAGGGAGCTTTGGCCAGGAGAGTGAGCACATCAATTGAGTGACTGATCATTATTTGTCATGATCTGTAAGTGAAATCATAATTGTGTACTAGTTGATCAATGTACTAGTTGCTCTTGATGTGTGTACTCAACAGATCCTCTAATGATGTAGTCATAATAGTGATCAGTGCATGTATTGAATGTATTAATTCTAGTGACACTTAATACTTACTATTTAATACATGTACATATTTATTTGTAATAATATTTGACCGTGAAAATACTGTAGCAGAGGGATAACTTGTGGTACAGGTATTTCACGGACAAGGGAGTGAAAGGTAAGTGATAATTACTTATGTAGGACACAGGTATGTATTTAATAGATAAGTAATTAACAGATAAGATAAATGTAAGATAAATAATATAAGTTAATGATAATGATAAGATAACAAGAGGTAAAGGTAATCAACATTATGGATAAGTACTTATGTACATAAGTGCAGGTGTTGCAGTTACTTGGTACATGAAAGGTACTGTGAGATGTACTCTGTGGCTGACACCCAGAGGCTGACACCTCCTATCAACTGAAACTGAATAGGGTACTTGGTATTGATATATCAATCCAACCTCAATTTTTTAGATCAAAGATCAAGGTTCTTTAAAGGAAAACCTAGGTGGTTTTCAGTTATACCACCAAATAGAGAGTAAAGATGACTTGATTTGATTTGATGATGGTTTAGGCAGAGGTTTGTGAGTAGAAAAGGAATGATGTGATAATTCAGAGATACAGAGAAGGAACTTAGCAGAAAGATGCAAGCTGAACTTGAAGGAATGACTTAGTATTTGGTGATCCTGACACTGAGAGTGGGAAGATTAGAAAGAGTAAAGGACTCCAAACGATAACACGGCGGTGATACGGCGGTGAATCCAAGTTGAGGTATGCTGGTTTTCTGGTCTGAGTTGGTTCTGAGTGGGTCTGAACCTTGAAGATCCTGAAAATGTGAACTCAGTGTCTACTGAGAAAATTTTCAGAGTTGGATTACATAATCACAACATGTACATGTGGTAGAGAGTTGGAATTCCAACTTGGTTGATATTTCACAAGGTACTGTGAAATATTACAAAGTCTATGAAGGAGAAGAGTAGTGTAAAAGTGTGTAGTGGTGACTAAGGTTAAAATTAACAGAGGAATTCATTTCTGAAGTCAGAAAGTAACAAAAGATTAAGATGAAAAAGTTACAGTAGGGACTTGAATTAAAAATGGAGGACTTCAGCAGTCTTTTGGCCAGCTTGGCTGGCTCTAAGGCTGACAGTGCCGGGGCTGGAACGGAGCCCCAACCCCAAGAATTGAGTTACAAATCCCTGTAGGACCCAGGCCTGGGTCCTGTCAGCTATTGAGTAAGAGTCGGATACCTTGAGGGAATCCGGATCCTAAAACGGGATAGTGATAAGTTTTGAGAAATCAAAGGCCAGTTCTGGTTCAGTGATTTGCTGATATAACTAGACCACAGGCTTTGTGCTTGGTTGAGTTCAGGGATTGGCGCAATATAACTGGAAGCAGCGGTCCTAGAAGTTTATCCTAGATTAACTTCAGGAGCAAGAGGAAAATGGTTTGGGTAAAGCTCGTCTCTTCTTGGATTTCTGAGGAACATAGAAATAGAAGAGAACAAAGCTTATATAGTATGTACAATGCATAATACTGAATAAGCATAAAGAGATAAAATGAATAAAGAGAAGATGCATATTGTAGTCTGTGTAGTAACTAGAACAGCAGCTGGTGACAGGTATTGTGAAAGGTACTTGCAGGCTGACAGGTCCTATGGGGTATGGCTTGACCTAAACCCATATGAATATGGGCTTAGCTAGTGAATATGTGATTGCGGGCTGCACACCTGCCTGCAAGCAAGGTAACCTTGCTTACAGGCTGGTGTGCAGCCTCACACGCCAATCAAAATTGGTGTGCAGACCCGCACGCCAACCTGCTGGGGTAATGCCCTCCCAGAGGGTTGGATTACGGGTCCGCACGCCAATTTTGATTGGTGTGCGGTCCCACACTCCCTTCAGAGAAGGGAGTGTTGGAGTGTGTGTGTGAAGGGGGGTGGAGTGTGATTATCACTCCCCCCCCCCCCCAGTGGTAGGGGTATTTTGAGCTTGGGGAGGTAAAATTCCCCAGAAATGGGAGTCGATCCCCCAAACCCGTCAGTGGGTTTGGGAGTCGAATCCCCATGACATTTATTCAAACAAATACCAACCCCCAAAGGGGTTGGGAGTCGCTAACCCAAAACCCAAGTGGTTTTGGGGGTTGGCTAACTGAAAAGAGCCCGCAGCGGCCGGGAGGATTCCTCCCGGCCGCTGATGGCACACCCTTGACGGCGGAGAGCAATACATCCTCAAGTTTGAGCATTCACAGATTTACAGTCTTGATCACTCTCATGAAAGATCAAACTCATCTCAAACTTTAAGGGAAGCAATGGACAAAGAAGACACCCACCAGTCGGTTAAATCTGAATCCCTCTCTCCCATCCTCAACACCAACAATTACTTGTCATGGTATTGGCAGATTAAAGTCCATCTCAGGTTTAAAGATCTCTGGAACATCTGCATCACTTGACTCCCTGTTGAACCTGCTCCAAGCTTGACTGGTGTTGCCAAACACGCAAAGACCATGAACAAAGCTATTGCCATCATTGTTCATAGATTTGATGCTTGCTGCTAGTGAGAGTTTGTCACCCCATTGACAATGGATGAATCCTTTCTCCTATGGCAACAAATCACAAACAATACGCTTTGCATTCAGTCATCAATCAGGAATGTGTATTCATGAGTTACGCAGCGCTGAATTACAACAGGGATCTTCAAAAATACATTGAATCAACTTGCAAGTCACTCATTGACATGGACACCATAGACATGACCATGCCTAAGAAAATCACCTCCTACTTCATCCTTGGTAAACTAATGAATAAGGATTTGGATCAAGTTGTTGACAAAACTGCTTTTGAGACTGATGTCATGGTTGACCCATATAAGGTTTTGAATGCCCTTCAGTAATTCCAAACTCACAAGAAGAACAGATTGATCAATACTCCCCAAGGTACCTCTCTCTTTACTTCTCACCCTTCTGGATTGAACACAGTACCACCAAATTCAAAATGTTATTTTAAGGTCATCCATTGCTGCGCTAATGGTGATCATAATCCAGAAACTATATCTCATCACACTACAAGCAATACCCATTTTGCCCCAAAAATAAATGGCAATTTGGGTGGGGGAAAATGGATCAATTTTCTGGAATTTTTTTCCAAAATGCCTCAGGAGTAGAAATTAGGCTAAACTGAGCTATTTTAGCGCAGAGATAGAAATTCATCAAACATTCCAAAATGAATTTTTAGCTCATTTGAGACATTTTTATTTTTTGGCTAAAATAGCTCATTTTAGCCTAATTTTTTGTGTCAGCCTCAGTGATGCCAAGAGCCAAAACTCTTCTAGCTACACTAGGTGCAAAGGTATAAAAAGAGGTGTACATGTGTGGGTGACACGTGAAAAGTGGGGGAGGTGTGTGTAAAGTAAAAGAAAATAGTAAATAAAAACTTAATAGTTTTTATTTACAGAGGGGCCTGAGTTACAGGGGTTTTTTATGGTGCCCTCTAATATCAGGTCCTGGGTTACAGGGGTGGTACTGATGCTCTGGTCCTTTGTAATAAAGGAGTATGCCCAGAAATAGCCTACAACTGAAGAATCAAAGAAATAATACTTACTAGTACTTATCTCTAAGCCAAGGAGGTCTTCAGGAGGGGGGAACTGTTCTTGAGGCGCTCAGAAAGGTGGGTGAGAGATGTTGAGGGAGCTGGGGAACAGGTGTTGGGTTGAAAGGTTGAAGTTCAGGTTACAAACAGCAGGAACAGGGCCAAAAGGCAGGTTGATACTGGGTGTTTGTCAGCCTCTATGCTACTAACCTGTAAGGGTTGTGCTCTGAGTGTTAACAAGTATGGTAAGTGGGAAGGTTTATTCGTGGTTAAATCCCTCAACCTGTAAAAGAAACAGGGAGGAGTCAGTGAGGAATGGTACTTCTACTGCTGACTCATCCAATTATTTAATTGGGCATCCAGATCAATCCTCTTGTATGGATTAATAGGCTTCCAAGATGAGGACTTCTTCAACTCACTTGGGATTAGTCTTTTAACAACAATCTAGATTAATAAGTGTATCAACACTTAAGGACCAGAATTGTTTAACCTGGGGGATAATTCTTTATGCAATAGAGATAAGTAGATATGCCTTGAATCTGAGCAAAGTAAATCTATTTAGGTCTAAGGTAG